GTCTGTACGTGATAGTTCGCCAAGGATATTATAACTTTGTTATGATTGATTGATTGTATGTTGTTTAACGTCCCTCTCGAGAATTTTTCACTCATATGGAGACGCCACCACTTGCCGGTGGAGAGCTGCAAATTTTGTCCTATACTCGGCACTTACGGCCTTTGAGCAGTGAGGGATCTTTTTCGTGCCAGCACCTACTGCGACACGGGACCTCGGTTTATACGGTCTCATCCGAAGGACCGGTCTCAACGTCCCACAGTGGGATTCGAACCCGCGACGTAAGGATCAACTCCTTACTTCGCGACTCTAGAGCAGACGCTCTAACCACTGCGCCACGCGGGCGACAACTTTGTTATGAAGAAACTGGAAGGTCATACTTGGTACAAAGATTACTAATGATCCGAAGGTGTGTCATGGTTTTGATCCAACATCATTCCAGCAAGTTCAAGGTCATTGGAAAAAAAATAGCAAGTATCATACTTGATACAGAAATTGCTTATGACAAAATTAAAGGGTTTGACACGACTTTCATCCAAGGTCATTCCTGTAAGTTCAAGGTCACTGCCAAAAAACTGTAAGATTAGTGTATGTGTTATAACTTTTGAAGCTCATACTTGGAACAAAGATTGCTTATGATCCACCGGTTTGAGATAACATAGTACTAGACTGGCAGAAGAAGTGGCAAAATTCATGCCTGGATTATAAATTTATAAGGGGTGGGAGGAACACAGGAAACTTTTTCTCAGATTGCTTGAGATGGGTTTTCCTGACCTTGAACAAGGGTTTTTCGGCAAGTTCAAGGTCACTGGCAGATAAATATTATTTTTTTTTCCACATGCTATAACTTTGTTATATAAAATCACTGAAAGCTTTTACTTGATACAGAGATTGCTTATGATCCAAGAATGTGTTTTGACCTTGATCCAAGGTCTTTCTGGCAAGTTCAAGGTCACTGACAGAAAAGTGCAATATTCTTTTTCAGGTATATCTTTGTCATTGGGTATCACTGGAAGCTCATAATTTGTTCAAAGGTTGTTTTTGACCTTAACGTAGGTCATTTAGGCAAGTTCAAGGTCACTGATATAACAAGTGTAAAATTCAAAAAGGTCTAATCGCCCAAGTGGCGCAATGGTAAGAGTGTCTGCTCTAGAGTCGTGGATTATGGAGTTGATCCTTACGTCGCAGGTTCGAATCCCACTGTGGGACGCAGAGACTGATCCTTCGGATGAGACCGTACAAACTGAGGTCCCGTCTGGCAGTAGGTGCTGGCACGAAAAAGATCCCTCATTGCTAAATGGCCATGTGTGCCGAATATAGGTCAAAATTTGCAACTCTCCATCGGCAAATGGTGGCGTCTCCATATGATTGAAAAATTCTCGAAAGGGACGGTAAACAACATACAAACAAATAAACAAAAAGGTCTATACTTTTGTAATAGAAAAAATTGCATGCATTTGCATTTCCCTGAAAAGATGATAAATATATCATCCAGAGTGTGTAATGGCCTTGACTTAAATCCGAGGTCACTTAGAATATGATGTTTTGGATAAATAGTCTGAAAGAATATGTGACTGTGATTTTTTTTATGTCGGTGACATAAAGATGGTGTTTGCTCTTAACCAGCTGCAGAATGTGTCATGGCTTGACGCAAAGTTATTTGGACAAGTTCAAGTTCACTGACAGGGGAATTTTACATTCCTTTACTGTCTTTCTACTGTTGAAACATTGAAAGTTGATGCCCCTTACAGGATTGTTTATAGCCTTAAAATGTTGCATGACCTTGACTCAAGGTCGCTCTGTCCTGTCCGGAGCTCCGACGGAAGACCTATTCGTTGCATTGCAACGAGCTCGGCTCTAGTTTATTTGTATTATTTTGACAAATAACAGATCTAAGAGGAACTTTTCTAATGTGTTGAAATATCGTATCTTAAACCCCTTTAGCGAACATTACATGTACAACTAGGTGTAAAACAGTTCAGCGACAAAAAAAATCAGGAAAAATCCTGGACAATTGTTTCCTTATATCACATTCTTTTAATCTACGTTTCTTTCTTTTTTACGGAAAATGCCGTTACTTTTTAGTCCCTTGTTGCAAAGTTTGAAACATTGGTATTAGATGCATGTATTTTTTACTTCATTCTTGTGTTTTAGATTTGTCCTGTGATGCCTTTCGATGTTATATGACAGGAATACGACAAAACTACGCATTATGTCCATTTTTAACTTTAAAAATCATAAATTTTCTACATTCTACCATTACCTCAAGTTAAAACATGTTCACTAAGGACAGATCCATGTCTGTCCATTTGAAATGAAATGTGGAGATAACGAACAGTTTTAAAGCTCATAGTCCATCTAAACAAAATAAATCGAGAGCAGAGCAAACACCGGCCCCAAAAAATTTCAGCGGCGGGATCAGGTGACATGGAGGAGTAAGCAGCCCATGTCGATGGTTACACCCTCCGTATGCTCCTTGTCATGATTGGGTTAACGGAAAAAATCCGTAGAAATTTCAGTGTGTAAATAATGGCCTTAAAATTGTATAAAAGACGTCAGTCAGCATTTGACCTAATGATAGATTGAATTTGCTGTATCGACCATAGAACTTGCGAAATAATGACTTCAAAGGAGACTGTTGATATCCTTGTTTCATCAGTTTGTTGGTTAATAGCCTGCCTCGTTTAGAAAATTGATCGTACGTAGAGCATGCTCTTGCATATCGAATCAACTGGGATATATAAACCCCATATGCAGGTGATAGGGTATGTTGCTACATAAGTAAGGGAGTTGAGGATAGAAAAGTTGACTGTCGCGAATTTATCCGACTGTCGCACTATCTTTAAACAAGAGGCCCATGGGCCACAACGCTCACCTGAGTAACCTTGGCCTTGCTGATTTTCACCTGATTTCTCCCCCCCCCCCATAAGTACTTATTGTGGCCCCGCCCTACCCCCAGGGGTCATGATTTGTACAATTAGAATCTACACTACCCCAGGATGCTTCCACGTAAGTTTCAGCTTTTCTGGCCCAGTGGTTCTTGAGAAGAAGATTTTTAGACTTTCTCTGCATATTTCAACGTAAAACTTGGATTACCTAATGTGGCCCCGCCCTACCCCCGCGGGTCATGATTTGAACAATTTGGAATCTACACTACCCCAGGATGCTTCCACGTAAGTTTCAGCTTTTCTGGCCCAGTGGTTCTTGAGAAGAAGATTTTTAAAGATTTTTACTTCATATTTCAATGTAAAACTTGGATTCCCTATTGTGGCCCCGCCCTATCTTGGGGGTCATGATTTGAACAATTTAGAATCTACACTACCCCAGGATGCTTCCACATAAGTTTCAGCTTTTCTGGCCCAGTGGTTCTTGAGAAGAAGATTTTTAAAGATTTTTACTACATATTTCAATGTAAAACTTGGATTCCCTATTGTGGCCCCGCCCTACCCCGGGGGTCATGATTTGAACAATTTAAAATCTACACTACCCCAGGATGCTTCCACATAAGTTTCAGCTTTTCTGGCCCAGTGGTTCTTGAGAAGAAGATTTTTAAAGATTTTTACTACAAATTTCAATGTAAAACTTGGATTCCCTATTGTGGCCCCGCCCTTCCCCCGGGGGTCATGATTTGAACAATTTAGAATCTACACTACCCCAGGATACTTCCACATAAGTTTCAGCTTTTCCGGCCCAGTGGTTCTTGAGAAGAAGATATTTAAAGATTTTTACTACATATTTCAATGTAAAACTTGGATTCCCTATTGTGGCCCCGCCCTACCCCTGCGGGTCATGATTTGAACAATTTAGAATCTACACTACCCCAGGATGCTTCCACATAAGTTTCAGCTTTTCTGGCCCAGTGGTTCTTGAGAAGAAGATTTTTAAAGATTTTTACTACATATTTCAATGTAAAACTTGGATTCCCTATTGTGGCCCCGCCCTTCCCCCGCGGGTCATGATTTGAACAATTTAGAATCTACACTACCCCAGGATACTTCCACATAAGTTTCAGCTTTTCTGGCCCAGTGGTTCTTGAGAAGAAGATATTTAAAGATTTTTACTACATATTTCAATGTAAAACTTGGATTCCCTATTGTGGCCCCGCCCTACCCCTGCGGGTCATGATTTGAACAATTTAGAATCTACACTACCCTAGGATGCTTCCACATAAGTTTCAGCTTTTCTGGCCCAGTGGTTCTTGAGAAGAAGATTTTTAAAGATTTCTACTACATATTTCAATGTAAAACTTGGATTCCCTATTGTGGCCCCGCCCTACCCCCGGGGGTCATGATTTGAACAATTTAGAATCTACACTACCCCAGGATGCTTCCACATAAGTTTCAGCCTTTCTGGCCCAGTGGTTCTTGAGAAGAAGATTTTTTAATGACCCCACCCAATTTTTGTATTTTCTTGATTATCTCCCCTTTGAAGGGGACTTGGCCCTCTATTTTAACAATTGAAACTCTCCTTTACCCAATAATGCTTTGTACCAAGTTTGGTTAAAATTGGCCCAGTGGTTCTTGAGAAGAAGTCGAAAATGTGAAAAGTTTACAGACGGACGGACAGACAGACGGACGGACAGACGGACGGACGGACGACGGACAACGGGTGATCAGAAAAGCTCACTTGAGCTTTCAGCTCAGGTGAGCTAAAAAATGTAGAACATTAAATTAAACTGAACTGAATTCCATTATTTGAGCGTTTAATAGACATTTATCAAATGTAGAATTGATGTATATCACGATAACTTGATAGCATGGATTCAAATGCATACGATTGTACCACTACAATTACACAGATTACAGATGATTGAGCTAAACATATATTCAAACTCATATTCATAGTTACAACGAACTTTTCAAATCTGTCTGTCTAAAACTTGTGTCAGTTTCAAATGTCGTAGACCTTCTTAACTAGTGCTATTACAAGCTAAATTGGAGATTTTACATTGATTTCATTTGAGAGATTTACATAAATATAGATAAAGTATGCGTACATCTTACCTTGCACAAACACGAGAACACAAAAAGAAATGCAGAGAAAAAACAGAAGTTTGTCATGCATTTTCATAAACTAAAACTCAATGCAACTAAAAAATATTATGATCCGGAATGCCTGTCTTTTTTGCGCAAGGCATTCACCGGATCTGTTTGTTAATCTTTTGGACCGTATGAAATCTGCACAGTTTTTGCACACATTAGGCAACGCTGTCAATTATTTACCACCGCACGAAAGTAGGTCAATGCTATATATTCCATTTTTACAAACTTGTGAATACACAGGTATTTACCGTTGGTAAGGTGACTATATATATTACAAAAACAATTGTCAGGACATGAAAGTTATGAGGATGAAAAAGAAAATGCCTTTAATGTGAAGGAAATATAACTTTCACAAATTTGACGAATATCTCAATTCAATTTAAAGAAAGTTCAAATTATTATCATTTTCTTTCCATTGCATGCTTCTATTGTCCTAGTGAAAAATTTGAAGATAACACTACTTATTATAATTCGAGTGTTTGATAGCCATTCAGCCATCGTACAATTGATGTACATCACAATAAAGTGAAAGGCACGGGAAGTATAGTTCTAAGGCGTACGATTATAGTACTTGTAATATCATACAGTGTAGTACTAGTGTTTCAACTCATATTAATTAGTAAATGTACAAGCCAATATTACAACGAAATCGACCTCTCCGAAACCTAGGTCAGTTTCAATTATCATACCTCTGCTCAGGTCATGCATGTAGAACAAGACGATATCGTATAGGTTGCTCATGTATTTGAAAGATTTTAGACACACAAGTAAATACATACGATGCATTATGTGTACTCTTACTTTGAACAAACAGAAGATCACGACAGGTATTGCAGAGATAAAGGTGAATTTTGTCATGCAATTTTATGAAGTTATCTCTGAGTTCAACTTATGATGAGCTACGTGTGCCTGATTGCACCTGATTGCACAGAAAACAAGCTAATTCAGAGAATTTGTGTCCCCCGCTTAAGAAAAAAAGAACACGCGCAGATCTAAGGGGGGGGGGGGGTTGGACCTTATTCTTTAAAATGTGTACAGAAGATTCTTTTTGTATAAAATAATTATCACACAGTAATGATAATTTTATGAGAAGGTTTGTACACACCAGACGTCATAAGTTCTTCATTTATTATGTTGAATACTAGAAAACTATCATTAGTAAATCGAAAAAAAAAATCAAAAAAAAAAAAAAAAAAAAAAAAAAAAAAAAATACGGGATTGTCCGTGATTTGAATTCGGGATCTCTCGCATTCAAAATTCAGAATCATACCCCTAGACCAAAGAGGCGCTTGATATTAAATCAAATCAAAAGCAAACATAAGGTCATGGTCACATATACATATTCACGTTCTTTGTCAAAATTTTAAACAACACATGGTGTCTAATTTAGCCTTTACTAAACAGTCTAATAGATGTAATTAGAATATAGAGTCCTCCGACAACCTGTATTATATGTAATAACTCCACATGCTCCTGTGCTAAAAATAGTGCCACGCGACTTTTAATATAAACAGGGAGTATTTCTAAAACTTTGAGCGTGACCGATGCCAACACTTTTCCAATTGACTAATATAAAGAAAAAAAATGGGGCGAGATACTTTAAGAGGGGCGGGCGGGGCCAAAGGGAGTTATGGTATAAAATTTCATTGCTAAATCTCAAAAGCTTCTTGAGATATCGCCCGAAAATGAAAGTGTTACACGCAGACAGAATTATGAATTTACGACCTTGACCTTTGACTTTTTGACCTCAAAATTAATAGGGATCTTTCTTAGGCCATAGGGAGTTGTGATATAAAACTTCATTGCAAAAGCTCAAAGGCTTTTTGGGATATCGCGCGGAAACGAAAGTGTTAAAACATACAGATTTATTAATTAATGACCTTGACCTTTGACCTCAAATCAATAGGGGTCTTTTTAGGCCATAAAAAGTTGCTATGTAAAATTTCATTGCAAAAGCTCAAAGGCTACTTGAGATATTGCGCGGGAACGAAAGTGTTACAGACATACAGATATATACAGCTAGACGGACAGCTAGACAGACTGACAGACAGACCGAAATTAAAATCCCCCAATATCAGGGAAAGCGGGGGACTAAAATCACACGAACTTTGACCTGTAATGCCAACTCAGCAGTAGCTTTGTACCTGGAAAAGAGAATCTCCAAAAGTACCATTTATGCAAGGGAGTTTACAAACAGAAAAACGTTCAAACGGCTATTGATGAGTTGATGAGGTTTAAAGACACGATAGACAAAACTTTTCATATTATGAAGAACAAAAATAGCAAGAGGGATCCAATGGCTATACCATCCCGTCCTTAAGAACCTCAGCTGTTCTCTTAAAAACACCATGCCAATTCTTCATACCAGCGATCTTTATGAACCTCCATTGGCTGCCAATAGACTACCGAGGAATTTAAAGGATATGATTGTTAGAGCCAGATTGAACAACCCATTACCGAATAGGGGCTTCAAAACTTGTTCCGACAGAAGTTGTTTTCTTGGCCTGACACAGAGATCTTTAACAGCCCCCTTACAGGCCGCAGCTACAGAATACTAGGAATTGTGTCCTGTCAAACAGACAATTGTATATATTCAATCAGCTGCACGGTTTGTCAAAAACAATATGTCGGAGAAGCTGGAGATCTCTGCAGAAGAATCAATAACCACTGTTCGACCATTAAGACCAAGACAGTCAATGAACCAGTTGGGGAACATTTCAACATCAAGGGCCACAAATTGGGAGGACATGACAGTATTTGTTATTGCCCATAGCCCAACATTGACCGATATATCAAAGAAAAAGCAAAGAAAGGTTCTGTATTCACAGGCAGAAGTCATTTGAAGTCATCCCGTCCCAATGATATCAACAAATTAAATTATTTCACCGGGATGAAAGTGAACTAGACCTTATTCCTGAATTTGACAAACAAAACTATAGTTCTCTCTAAAGAGTGTGAACTTGACAGTTAATCCACATCTTCATTTTTTTTTAATAAACTTAGCTATATGTAAATAAGCCTCCGAAATGTGGCTGAAATACTACCAAATCGGCGCAAAACAATAGACTATATTCAATTTTGCTTATATGACTCTTTTTTTAATTCATTTTATTCGAAGAAAAAAAAAAATTATATTCTAAAACTTTAAAGAAGCTCAAAATTCTTATTCTTCCAAAAACGGTTTTTTTTTTTTTGTTTTTGTTTTTTTTTTTTTTTGTTTTTTTTTTTTTTAATTTTCCTTAATTATCGCTCGTTATTTACAGTTACGCTATTTTAAAAGAATACATGATTGTACGATTACCTTATTTGCCGTAATTAATTAGCGATAATAATTTCGTTCAGTTATGAAATCGCACTTTACCTGAGAACACCGCAAAGACCGGACACAGGGGACGGCATTATTTCATATCAGCTTTTTCTTTTTTTAGTGTTAGTTGTATAAGTTTTCTAATTTTTTCTTATTTTCCTTTGTTTATTCTGATTTTCTTTGTAATCTTTTTCTTTATCCCCAGGGAAGGACAGGGTGTCCCAAAAATTTGACAATTACGTAGTGTAATGTTTCTCTCGTTGGAAAATATATATACACTTACTCAAAAGTTAAGGACCACCTTCTTTGATATGAAAATAAAATTTAAAAAAATATTTTGATTGAATATATTCAGATTTACTAGTCAATCAAACGTTTATTTATTATTTGTGTCTATATTACATCGATATCTCCATTTAAATACTTGTAAAACCGGTTTCCTCAAGGCCACCAATGCTTGTTCGAACAAGGCAGTTTTCAATTGTATTCACATCCATGTTCGCATGAGCTTAACTGAAAGAAAAAAAGTTATAAGTTTTGTGCAACCATGCCTCGTCGGAAACTCGGATGCTGAACGCTGGCAGGCCATTGGAATGGTGAGAACTGGAATGACGTACAGAAGGGTTGGCGAACACTTTAATGTCAGTCACACTGTAATTTTGCGTCTGGCACAGCGCTGGAGAGAAACTGGAGGTGTGGAAGAAGCTAAAAGATCTGGAAGACCCCGAAAGACTACAGAGAGGGAAGATAGTCTTCTAAAACGACTAGCTAAACAGAGTCCTTTTGACACTGCAACACAGAAGCAAATGGAACACCCACGCTCGAATCAGCAGAAGCACAGTTAGCAGGAGGCTTAACAAGAAACGGATGCGATCATGTCGGCCAATAAAACGTCCACTCTTATCCCAGAGACACAAAGAAGCAAGATAACTATGGGCACGACAGCATAGGAGGTGGAACATTCGGTCGTGGCAGAGAATACATTGGTTAGATGAAAGCCGATTTTTGCTGTACCCGGTAGACGGTAGGGTTCGGGTATGGAGACTCCCAAATTCTGCATACAAACAACAACATGTATTGGGACAAAAGCGTTTGGTATAGGCGGTGTAACAGTATGGGGATGTTCCTCTTTGCGGTGTAAACTGGAGCTGCACATTCTTGATGGCACCTTAACTGCTCAAAAGTACAGGGACAACATACTAAGCCAATTATTTGTGTCTCATTTCGATGATCATTCATTAGTAATCGACCTGTACTAATAGATGACAACGCTAGACCTCATTCTCATCGGGCCCGAATAGTTAAAGACTATCTTCACCAAGAAGCCATTGGAACTATGCCCTGGCCCGCCATGTCCCCAGATATGATCCCAATTGAACATGTTTGAGAATACCTTGGTCGTAGAATTAATCAAAGGACCCCAGGATGTGAAAACTTACAGGAATTGAAAGACGCGTTAATTCAGGAATGGAGACAGTCCCCCCCCCCCCCAAACCGCCTAAGACGACTTGTCCACAGTATGAGAAGGCGTGTAAAAAACTGTACAAAAGTCGTGGTGGATATACACATTATTAAATGTCTATGCTTATAAAGTGTTGGAAATTTATGACTCTTTAAATTCAAGTAGGGTGAATTCAAAATAAATGACCACCAAACTGAATTTTTTGGCAAAATTCAACTACTTATAACATATTTTTCACTTATATCATCATATCGCAAATGCATTCTAGTTTAAAATCCTGAAGTGGCAATAGAATAGACAATTGGATTAAAAAGTTTCAGAATTTTTATTAGTGAAATTTCTTTTGAAAAAAGAAAATATCATTACACCTTAAAAGACTTTCTAAAATACATAATCACAAGAAATTATAGTTTTTTATGCTTCAAAATGGTAAAAGGGGTATAAATGATTAAATCTAGACCTTGAATGAGTATCTTGTCTTGTACATGTGACAAAAAATCTTTTTGATTGTTATTTTACATTATTTTTTCAATTCTGGTTTGAAAAGTTTTAATATGAAAAAAATATGAAGCAATAAAATTCCCCCAAATTCACTTTTTTGTCCGTTCAAGTCAATTCTTTAAATCTAAGCCAAAAAAGAATTGTTATATACGAGTTCTCTTACAAAAAATGCTAGATTTTGAAGTCACCCTATGTTTCATTATTGTGTTGCACTCCTGACATCTGATATGTATTTTATTTAACATTGTTTTAAAAATTATAACACACAATAACCCATTCTTACTTTGTAAATCAATTTGTCGTGTTGATATTTTTCATCGTTTACAGCAGGTTTTTCATATTTTGAAGACCTTAAAACATGATTATTTGCAAAGTGTAATATATATAAATTGTATTTAAAATATATGTGATATGATGAAAACTATACCCTGAATTGACTGTAGAATTTCTGTAATTTGTTGATAGACATAGTGTTTTGAACATCAAATAGTATCAAGCATTTTTTTTCAACTTATTTTTTAGAAAAGATAGTTAAAAAGCATCGGTAATTATGAAGCAGTTTTGTTGCACTCCTGACTGCAGTAAAGTTTAAAATTAAAACCATAGAACACAAAAATTCATAAAGTGTTGGCAACATCAAGTGGTAATGAAATTGTGCAATACTTATAGTCCAATACTTCATAGTTAAAACAGATGAAAGTATTTAAAATTCGCATTTTATCTGGAATTATACCCTATTTTATGCCAAAAAACTAGCTTAAATGTATATTTAGAAGATAAAATATATTTTAAAGCATATTTTCCTTTAGAGGACAAACACAGTAACCCACCAGAAAAATTCTACTCATCATTTTTTCTTTATTTTTATTTTTATTGGATGATTTATAATTCTAACATATTTGTTGCACTCCTGACCAAAAGCATTGGGGCCTGAATTGTGAAGTGAAAATTACATAAGAACTTGTTCTGTTGTTTCAGTGAAGTTGAGGAGGAATTACTTGAATTTTATGACAATGTTTTAGTGTGTTTATTTTTAACGTTCATTAAAAAAATCACAAAAAAGATAAAAACACATCTGAATTGATAAAATTGAAAAAGGAAGGATTTTGATAATAAAACTGTCAATGATATAGCATTAAATTATACAAAAAGATCATTATTAATTAATGAATACTTCTAAGCATGAATAGAAGTCTTTTCGTCACAGAACTTGAATCTTTAAAAAATGTGTTGCACTCCTGACCGTAGAAATATGGATCTGAAGCACAGACAGATCCTGTAATTGATAAATCTATTTGGTAAAAATGTTCTTCGTGTCTTTATTTTCCAAAATAAAAATCAGAAAATCATATAATGATAATAGTTTTTTCATGCTTGGAAGCAAAACATCAAATGTTGCACTCCTGACATTTTTGGGTATGCACATATACTTGACTCTCATTAATACTGCTTGTGATTTATATAATATTTTTAAGTTTTAAAATGTATATCAGTTATTATTTTACACTTCCAAAATTCTTTTTTGTCTTAATTTTCTATCAGAATTTTACAATCGATGTTTTTTGGCAACACTACATTTTTTCTGTTGCACTCCTGACATGGTATAACATTTTTTTAAACATCAGCCATGACCAAAACTTGATTAAACAAAAGTTTCAACAGTCCACATTTAAAGCTCAATACTTTGAATATTTTCAGGAAAGTCTTTATTTTCAACATGAAGCATTATTTTTTATTTCACAGATCTCCAAATAATATTGAAATTTCAAAATGTCACAAAAAGTAGTTGCAATCCCGACAATTTTAGCATCATTTTTGGGCATAACTTTTTTGTTAATTGAGATATCAACGAGATATTTGGCAGGTATTTAGACACTATCTAAAGACATATGCTGAGACATAGAAATCTATTTTCATTGCCTGTATTTTAAGTGTGGGTTGATAAATATGCATTTGGTCATTTTTTTTTTAATTCACCCAGTAAAGTTAAACATGCTTATTGCTAGCAATTTTTGTCCGCAACAAATTAAAGTGAAACTTTAAATTCTACATTTTTTGACTTGTATTCTTTTCATTGAAAAACTATCATTTGCATAAAACAGATAAGTTATCAGATGATTTCGAAACATGCATTGACAAAGGAGAGTTTAGATCTACTCAGATTTAAAAACAAAAATTAAACAATTAATTGGATTGGTCTAAGAGAATGAAAAGTTTAAAGAAATTTCACAGAAAGAGTGATGGTCCCTAACTTTTGAGTAAGTAAGTATATATATATATATATATATATATATATATATATATATATATATATATATATATATATATATATATATATATATATATAATGATGGAAAGGGGACAAGTAACAAATAAGCCTTCAAATTCTTTCACAGGTTACAAACGTGTAAATTCTCTACCCAAATATCAAAAAAGATATTATATTCATAAATAATTCATCATTAAGGTTGACCTTTTAAACAATAAAACTTCCTGATAAATTTGTTGAAATTTAAGAATATTATAAGGACAGAAGACTTTAGTCTTTTAAAAAAAAGATTACTTCTAAACATCTGCTATCTTGCTCTAAATGAAAGATTTTTTCGAGGAAAACACATTGCGCTTACCGTCACTTACATGTAGCAGCATCTCCCCAAAAATACAAAACAAATGTAAACATAGAGATACAGTAGATTGAAGCTTGTAAACGAGCTATGATAGGAGGGAATGACAACATGAATGAAGAACGGACACAACAAAAGTTAAGCCACTTTAATGCAGGAGCATTAAACTAACTGTTAGTATAATTACAATAAAACTCACTACTTTAAGCGATTCACACTCTGATAATGATATCATAAATAATAATTTAAATGTAAAAAAAAAAATGCTCAGGATCAACAATGTAAATGCATCCTACGCTGATCTGTCAATAAATTTATCTGTATTGTACCATATCAATACACAGTGTTTATCTTAACTAATGCATATGACTGATAGACAACGAAATTTAATGAAATGTGTGAGTAAGTGGATAAGATAAACCCTAACGGTTAACAAGTCATTAGCAACCATGAAAATCCTGGTGATATTTTTCACTTTATTCAAACTCCTATGTTACATATCTGCACAAAAGACTTGTAAGAAAGTGAATTCTTGTAAATGTAAATTGGATGATGGAAAAGTCATAGACTTGGATCCATTGGCGAAATCAAGCGGACCCGCGTAAGTAAAATTGTGAATTTATTTCTTCGTATAGACTTGAGATTTATGATAGCCAATTATTTTAATCTATTTATCTATTAAACTATGCACAATTCAATTTGATATTTTTTTTTTAATTTTCTCATGCATAAAAAGATATTTTATATTAAATTAATAGTTTATCTTTAATTTGCAAATTCAGAATAGACACTGTATACGATAATTCAGTTTGTTTAAAAAAGTACATAAATGTTAAAAAAGAAAGTCGCTAAATATTAGTGCATGTATTCCTAACTCCTCGTTGTCAAAATGAAATTATTAAGTTTATTTGAAATCCTGATTACAATGTGCAGGCTAACTTTTAATTATCAGCACCTATAGAAATAAGGAGATTGAAGTTGTGTATAAGGATTATTTTTCTTACTACATCAGTCTGTATGTAAGACCTGTAACTCTTTTCAGGAGTGCATAAATGTTCTGCGAAAAAAAACTGCAAATATACATATATTCGGGTGAGTATGCGGTTTTTACTAGCACCAGACGTGCCCTGAGTGTCGCATTTTGTTTTCAGATTTCTCGATGTTCTCGACAGTGGTGGAGTGGATCAATATTCGTGGAATCCTTGCAAACCATTTTCCGAAGGAGGATGTACTAATGCAGCGGTATTGTGGCAACGTTTTTGAATAACATTTAATTTTAGCAATAAACTCTGAGTTTTATTTGCTTCTGTAGCAATTTTTCCAAACTTATTTAATTTGATCAACTTCTCTATACAGTTTTCTTTAAATTATCAATTCATATATCAGAAATATATTGTTTTCAGTTTATCTTTCCATTGTCTGCATTTTAACCTTAATCATATCTTTCAAAATTAATAAATACTTAAATGATTGATCAAGTGGTATTTTATGACTAAAAATGTGCTGTGACGTTTGTTTCGAACAGTCTCAAAGTAACTGAAATTAAAATTGTAAAGTTCATATTAACCTTAAAATTTCCTCTCTAGGTATGTCAGACACATTCAGGCCTCCAATATAACTGTGGCACTCAAGACAGTGCTGTTTTCGGATACGATGATGCGAACAGTGTGTACACTATAACTTACAGTGCAGAAAGCTATGTGAAAAGCAATGACGTCAGGTAATTTGAGGTCATGATGTCCTATTTTCATATAATAGACAGTGGTTTAAGTATCATAAAGATTTCTTAAATATGAAAAAAAAAAATGCCTTCAAATTAACTAAATCAAGTGATTGTTATAAAGTTAATGTTGAAATGAAAGAAATATCTTGCGGTGTAGAAATTAATGTACATGTTAATACAGGAGGATATCATGGATAGAACTCTGCCATTCAGTTACTAGTATCTGAAAGGTGACTAAAAGTTCAGTGAAAGGTGACTTAATGCCAGAGCTCTGTCATTCAGTCATCTTTCCGGACATTTCAGTGACCATTCAGTTTTATAACGGGATATGACTATTGACCTGTGGAAAACTTGATACAGAATTTAAGTTGTTTGCTATCCGCATGTTTTTTTTTTAAATTCAGAGATACATGTACCACAAATTTATATTGCCATGTTTAGTCATGTATTAAAATTATAAAAGTAGATTCTTTTTCTCTCAACTTGGAACTTGGATATGCTTAGCAAGATTATGTAGTGATATCTTAAGCTACAGTGTATAATAAAACCATTACACAATGAACAAAAACAATCAGGAAATCTTTATATATTTCAGAACGACAACCCTCTACCTATACTGTGACCAAGGTCCAGATATGTTCCAGCCAATAGGAGAGGCTGTTCAAGGAACTTATGTACTTATATAATTTATTTTCTTTAAAAGAGATCAAGACATTTTACAGAGACGCAAGAGCATAACTAATTTCTCGCCTTTCTAATCAAGGTTTGTCCATAACTACCAGTCGCCTGCCGTCGTTTACATTTTATATTTCGTCTTCTCAAGATTCATACACGTGCACAGTGGGCCGATTTCATTCCAACGTGCCACATAGCATTTTGGATAAATTAAGGGTTTTTCTTCTCTTGAAATTTGGAATTTGCGTATAAAAAAATCAATACATAGTGAAGATTCAAGTTAATTAAGATCTCGTAGCTCCTGGGGCAAACGTGGGGCTTCAGCAAAATGAAAATTTTAATTGGAAAAATCTTCGTAAAAATTCTAAAGAACAGAAGTTAGGCATATTCATTAAGTAAACAAGCATTCCTCTATAATGTAGATTCAAATTTCTTTGAAACACCCACTAAGGGATTTAGCACCTAGAGATAGGATGGCGTTGAGTACGAAGTTCAAAGCTTGACAAAACATTAATTCATTTTCTCAAGATTAGATTAAGACAATAATAAGAGTCAAATATTTTATTCCGATAGATAGAGAAGACCTTTTTAATAAAGAAGATCAAAAGGACTACAAATGCATTTAATCGCATTGATATCATACCCCCTACCTTTTCCTCTGCGAATGTACTTTCACGTTTGTTGAAGTCATTGCCCCTGGGGCAATTTGCAAGGGAGGGACTACAGAAAGTATGGAAATTATACATAATGAAAAGGAAATCGCTTTTAAGATCTTATCAAGACCAATGAGAAATTGATGAGCGTTATGGATCTTGCACGTCTTGTCATTATACTATGATAGATATTTCAAACCTTGTCTTAACAGGGCCTGGTAAGAGGCCGCGCCATGCGCCATATGCGCATACTGTCGAAAAATGGCGCAATGAAATAATGGTGCGCAGCGCCATGCGGCGCCCCCCGCAAAATGCGGGTATGCATGTTTTGGTGTCAGGTCAGTTCTCTCTAAAACCCTTTCTCTCCTAGGTTATTTTTCTCCAATACCATTTCACGGTAGGTCATTTCATGGCAGGTCATTTCACTCTCCTACCTGGGTCATTTCACTCCCTGCCCGTCTGTGTTCTTGGATTCATGTCTTTTCAAATAAAATTCATAACACTGATGAAAACATTTGCCAGACTTTTGCCTTTTAGAGGGCTTTCTCGTCCATGAAAACCATATTTTGAATGAAAAATTTTAAGAGTAAATAAATTTTATCATAATAATCATTTAACCGGCTCCATATATAATAAAATTGTGTGTTTATAGATTAGCACTTAGATTTACAAGACATTCTAATAAATAAATCAAAATCGGCACTATCAATTAATTATATATATTTGAGAAATTACTTTAATCGGTTTATTTCGAAAAGCTTTAAAAAAAAAAAGATCTGCCGCAAATGTAAATAATTTAATTATTGTTGTTAGAAAAAGGGTTTATTTAATGTAATAACAAAATGGAAATACAAATACTTATTTTTGTTTAAGTTATCACTTTGTAAAACTTTTTTAAACTAGGAAATGAAGACACATAAAAAGAAAAAACTCAAACACAATAGTTTGCTAATTAAAAAGATATAGAAATACATATATTCACATATTAAAAGTGTAAATAACATTCATTTAGTAGCCTCTAGAGTTATACACTTGACTACAATATATTAACTGAAATAAATTGTAGAAGCAGTTAAACGGTTTATCAGTTTTAAAAATTGATTTACACGTGTACTCAGTTTGCCCAAACTAACCTATAAGAAAACACTGTTGTAATTATTTCATCCTAATACTCAGCCCCAGATAAATTAATACTAGAAACCATGGCTATTTAATTGTCAAATGTTATGATAATATCTTTATTTGCATATCGCCAAAAGAATTGATGATCTGTGGAAATATATTAATTTAGTTCGGATGCGTCGCGTTACAATACTGAAGGTATGTCTATAACATGAACGCCATTTAAAGTAGGTGAGACTGTTGAAAAAAAAAATACAAGAACTATTTGAAGCTTTATTTTTGAAAAAAAAAACTCATTGATTATGAATCAAACGCTTCGTATATGAAATAAATGTACTGCATGTATATATCTTTGTGAAAAGTCCTTTATTTTCACATTTGCACCAATTCTGATAAAAATTGAAGCAACATAAAAAAAAGAAAATCACATTACTGATGCATTAACCGCAGAAAAATAATTCACTTTTTAAGTTCAGTCAATTTTCACACGATATTAAAACAAAGCAATCTAGTGTATTTGTGAATACAAATAAACATGTTTACATTATTTAACTCCAGTCGGGATCAGTTTGATTTTGATCGGGAAATGTTTAGAATTCAAAACTAGCAAGTTTCCTTAAATTTTGCAATTTTATGTCTTTTTCTATTTCAAAAAAAATATAACTGCTTAATGTTCCTTTCCAAAATGGATAATCAATAACAATGGATTCTCGATCTTGATAATGAATTAAAGCAATTGAAAATTCACACATAAACATATGCTCACAGCATGTATACATGTATAATTTATTGCCTTCGTATAATGTGTCATAAATCTGATAGACAACAACTTAAAAATTAGCATTTTTACATTACATATTCTTGATAAAAGCAATAAAAAGATAAAGCAAAGAGAACAAAGATTATATATCGGGTACTGTTTTTTTGTTTTGTTTTGTTTTGTTTTGTTTTGTTTTTTTTAAATATTTTTATAATCGATATTGTTAAGTCTTCAAAAATAAATAAATAAATAAATAAAACATAAATAGACTTTAAATTCTATAAAATCTATACTTATAAACTACATAATAAATTTTGCAGATAAACTCCGAAACGCCTGCAACAGAGTTCATACAAATTCATTTTCATGAAACTAACAAAAAACAATCGTTTAAATATTTGATAAAACGTCATTAATGAATTATTCGATCAAAATTCGTTTTAACTAATATAGAGTGAATAAGTTTTGATTATTGATTACAAATTAAGATGTGCAAATCCTTTATATGAATATCTGATCGGAGTCTTGATAGTAGTACTAGTGCATATTCGCCATTAAGAGCATAATGGAAACGAATACGAAGTACAATTTAAATATAGTAATAAACTTGCTAAAATTAGAAGAAGAAAAAAAGTCAATTGATGGATAAATTATTGTTAACATAAAGAAGAAAAGTGCTATATTCTAGGTTTTCACATTTTTTACTAAAGCTTTTAAAAATTAAGTATGCTTTAACCAATACATTTCAGTGGTTTTTCTACATACAATCTTTTGAAATATTAAATACTGGGGGGGGGGGGGTGGAAAGGCTTTTTTACCCCCAAATATGTGCATATCCGATTCTTTAACCTCTTATGGAAATGAAAACAGAGTTCCCAAAGTATGACAGTAATGACATAGTAGTATCAAAATAGAGTCGCACGTAAAAAGAAAACGTCAATGAAATTGATAGTTTTTAAGTTAGTTCCTAAACTAACTGCGGGATTTTGTTTCTTCCTGCTATACGCCTGTAATTAATTGTCAGAAGAAACTTAAGATAATTATATATTATTTGAAATGATCAGTCAGCGGTTATGAAATTCAATTCCCCGGGCTTGCACGGGATTTCATCTGGTTACTGTACTTGTAAAAAGACTTGTATTACTGCGTTCACATTTTATTTGATCAATCATTAAACAAGAGTAATTAAATAAGAATTAATTAACCCACAAATGTTTACAGATTTAAATAATTATTTTTTAAATAATAATTGTATTAGTATAAGTTGGGCTAGTATGAGAATACTAATAGTTTAATAATTCAAATAGAATTTAAAATTGGAAATAAATAATTAAATTACTTTAAAAAATCCTATCACATTTATACATTTATTGTTCAGTTCAGTTCATTTCTTTTATTCCTTGTATCAACAGATACATCAGAGATACAATATTACATGCATGTAATTACATATAGTATATACATAATTGACATGGCTAAAGAAGAGAATATATATAATATATATTACAATATATTCACACAATTTAAAGTGACATTGAGATTAAATGTTTACATATATATATATATATATATATATATATATATATATATATATATATATATATATATATATATATATATATATATATATATATATATATATATATATATATATATATTGTTGTGACATAGTAAATCACTCTTAAAAAATTAATATTATACGTGTAGTTCTAATTTATTTTCCCGTATATGACTTGCTTCTCTTAAAAAATTTCCAAGACCCCTTAATTCCTTTACATTTCGAGCGCTAAATAGTTGTATTAATTTATATACACTACTATTTTGATAATAATATCTTTTAATATATTTCTTTCTTATATTTTCATATGTTGGGCACTGTAAAATAAAGTGAAATTCATCTTCTATTTCATCCTGATTACATAATATGCATTTTCTATCATTTCTACTAGTATTCGTGTATCTACCCCTTTCAATATATAAATTGTGATCAGACATCCTAAATTTTGAAATTATTTCTCGATTTTTAACACTTAAAGGCTTGTTTAGGTAATATTGAAGGCAATGTGTTTCTGTAAGATATTTGTATAAATTAGCTTTGGGCATAATGTTAATTTCTGCTCTTATTTCTTGAATGTAAATATCTTTCATTCTTTGTTCAATAAGTTTAAATGCATATTTTTCATCATAATATGTATGCATCAAGAAGTTTAATCCTAATTTATCTAGTTCTGTTTTAATGTTTACAATCCATTCATCATTTTCCTGTACCATTTCTTCATAACACGTCTTCAGAATACAATTTTCTGTTTTTCTCAGCTTTAACCAATATTTCATAATTTTTATTTTTCTTAAAATATGGCAGGGAAATCTACCTAGTTCAAGATAAAGAAGCTTATTACTAGCATTCTTTTTTAACCCTAAAATTTTTTTACAGAACAGTACATGAACTTTTTCTATATCAATT